ACAGCTGCTAGCGTCAGAATAAAAAAACAAAAACCCCAGCATAGGAATGCATAGCTAGATTCCTATTGGCTATTTCAATTTGCAATATCCAATAGCAAGTTGGCTATTGGATATTGGAAAAGCTCAAATCTGAGTAAGCAATGTCAGTAGAGGGGAGAAAGATGGAGATGGCAGGTAAAGCTGGAGGTCAGCTTTATCATTTTATTCTACAGTGGAAGTACAATTTCCAAGCAAACCTCAAACACCGGGCCCTTTTATTTTTCATCAGTTATAGCTTGAAGGGTTTTTGTTTTTTTTAATAAAAGCTTGAATACTCTATATTCCACTTTTTGATGAACTTTTGTTCTTTTATGGCTCATTGTCCTATACATGAAAACAAACACGTTTTGTTTAGAAGGGCAAGTATTTACTTTGTTACTTTTAAACTTTGTTTAAAGTGCTTACAGATACCAGTTTTGTACTTGTACTTGGGCCTGAAAAAGTGGCATCGGGACATCCCTAGTTATAACTTCACCCCATCAGCATTTTTTTTTATCTGTGTACTATTGGGGAGATTTCAATTCCTGTCTGATAGCCACAACAGGAAGTGAGAGGAAATCCCTCCAAATTGAAGGAAATCTCTGATGGTCAGCACTGTCCGAATTGGAAGATTTCCCATTCATTTCAGTTGGTGACAGCTCAAAATGTGGGGTTTTCTTTCACAACAGTCACCAAGACAGATAGAGAAGGCTAATATTCCTAACAGGGACACAGACAGCAATACACATCTCTATTCCCTATCCACTCTATCCAAAACTTTAAAACAAAATGGCTTCAGTTGCACTGTAAGCAGTGTTGCATTCTAGCTGGTCCAAGTGAGCAAGCATTCATCTGTAAAAGCAAGGCACTAAAGTCTAACATAGACATGTACATTTTGTTTGTTCTGAATGGATATTCGTACAAATTTTGTAAAATTCTGACATTCGGATGCATTCAAATTTCTGAACCTGAACAAGTCCGAATGCTGCTTTAACGAAAAATCAGATCCGTCCGAATTTCGTTCAAAACGAAACTAAGTCAGACATGAGACTGTTCTCTGGCCAATCAGATGTGTATTTTTTGGCTGTTGGAAGTTGCAGTACATTTTATACCTGCATTACTCTCTTCTGCCGCCAGAGCCCTTCGGTTCAGCCGTACAGGCTATTCACAATAGCCTGTACAGAAGCCATAGGCGGCCGCGCGGCTCAGCCAAGCCAAAGGCATTTCTAAATGACAGCTGGGCAGAGCCAACTATGATCTCACAACTGGCTACGCCCAGTTGTAATTACAGTTCAGCATCCCCAAATGACCTGGGGACGCTGTACTGTCATTAAACAATAACAACTGAGCGGAGCCGGCCATGGCGTCACGGCATTGTTAGAGTCTAGGAAATGGTGTGTGCATCTGGCTCCCAGCTATCCACCATTCCAATGACACTAACAGTGCACCTGGCTGCCACCTACAGTAATTGTCAGTGTCACTGGAATGGTGGATAGCTGAGAGCCACATGCACATACCATTTCAGTGACACTGACTGCATACACATACATAAATGCATACAGATGGATACACACACACAAACACTTATCCCTCTGATGGCATGGATCAAACATTCTGGTATTGCCGGCCGGTAATTTCCAGCAAGTTCCCACCTTTGTGTATATACAGTAATAACAGTCAACTCTGTTTACATAATTAGAATGTCTTTGCACTCTTATTGAACCAAGTAATCTGTATAATTCA